GATTCCGGTCAAGGGCATGTACCTTGGTTGCGGGCACATCCCCAGTGGGGAGAGTGCAGGTGGCAGCTGATCGATGTTTCTCTCTCATCGATGTTTCTAACTCTCTATCCCTCTCCCTTCCTCTGTAAAAAATCAATAAAATATATTTTAAAAGAGAAAAAAATGTAAAGCCAGGGTCCTAGCTCATAAAATAAGCTCACAAATATTCTAGAAATAGACATAAAAATTAAACCTCTAAAAGTATAAGAAAAAATATAAAGGAATTTCTAAGAGTATAATGTTGAGGCAGAGAGGGCCTCCCTAAGTAAGACTCAATACCCAGACAGTATCCTTTACATTTTTTTAATTAAAGGTACTATCTATACTAATAAAAGTGCCATATGCTAATTAGACCAGACATCCTTCTGGACGTCCTTCCTTCTGGACAAAGCCACGGCGAGCAGGGGCCGAGGCAGAGGCGGCCGCCACCGCAGAGGGGGGCCAAGGCCCTTGCATGAATTTCGGGCCTAGGCCTCTAGTGTATTAACAATGGAGAAGGGTCAGAGGAGAGGTACCTGCGACAGAAGATCAATCCCTGCCCTAGAGGAGCTTCCAAAACCTGTGAGGAACATCCCCACAACCCGAGGAGGACACGATAGGACCCAGCGAGAGTTTCCTAAAGAAAGAAGTAGTGCTTGCCCATAAACTTGGAACGACATTCAATCTTGCTAGTACCAGAGAAATAAAACTTACATGAGATGTCTCTTCTTATCCATCATATTGGAAAAAAAAATTTAATTGATAATATAGAATCTTTGGGAAATTTACAGTGTGGGTGGGCGTGGAAGTTAACCACTTTTTGGTGGGCAATTCAGCAGTAATTTATAAATTTTCAAACATACCTACTCTTTGGTTTCCCAGTTCCATGTCTATTCATGTGTCGTGGGGAAATGTTCGCATACCTGTGCAGAGATGTCACTTGCAGTAGTAACAGCTGGACACGGCTAAAAGGCTCTACAGTGGCGAGCGGTTAGGACATTACAGGGTGTCCGTACCTTAGACTCGCTTAAAAGAATGTGGTCGCTCTATATCTGGTGTTGTGTGGGGGCAAGGACTCTATATCTGGTGTTGTGTGGGGGCAAGGACCACCAAAATTTTATCGTGCAGTGAAAATGTTAAGTTCAAAATATGTACAGTATGTTCCTATTTATGTAAAGTGTGTGTGTGTGTGTGTGTGTGTGTCTAAGAGAGAATCTTCTGAGATATTTAGTAGCATTTTGGCTTTTTAAAATCAAAGTCAAAGCCGTTAATATGCCAATGCATTTATTAAATCCTAGAAATAATTTTAGATATCATGTTTCATTACCCCAGTTTATTTACCAAGTGAATCCTTGTTCTCAGAATGCCAATTTTAAAAGGAAAATAACAGTCTGGAGGTTTTTCAAGAACAATTGTCCTGAATATGGAGGAATTCTCTCTTTTTTAAAATCATTTGACTTCCAATTTGTAAGAATAGAGATTTGAAATACTAGACAAATGTACCAATAGCATATCAGACATTGATGATAATCACAGTAATCTTCCTTGCTTCCTCAAGATCTAGACCCCAAATTAACAAGGAGTTCAGACCTCTCATCCATCCTCTCCTTCAGGATTTTAATATATATATATATATTGGTTTCAGAGAGGAAGGGAGGGAGAGAGAAACATCAATGATGAGAGAGAATCACAGATCGGCTGCCTCCTGCACACCCCTCACTGGGGATTGAGCCCGCAACCCTGACCAGGAATCGAACCCGTGACCGGGAATCAACATTCATAGGCCCACCCTCAACCCCTGAGCCACGCCAGCCGGCTCCTTCAGGATGCTGGCACAGGGCAGGTGCCAGGGATGATTAGCCGAACGGAAGAGTGTGGCAGAGCTATGTCATGGGCACGTTGACTTAATGGAAACAGCTCTGTCCACTGGCCAGGAAGTGGGAGTGGCCACTGCGGCCGCACGGGCAGACCCTCAGCCTGGAATGGGCCGGCGGACGTGACACCGGCTGCCACCCTCGATGGCAGTGCCAGGGCCCCGGTGCCACGCGCTCAGCACGACTGCGGGATTTAGACATGAAGCTGGTTCTAGAACATTCTCCCGGGTTCCGGTCGCTGCTTCCTCAGTGATGATCTCTCCCAACTCAGGAAGGAAAATGTGACCGGAGCCTGTTTCTGACGCGTGCCTTCCTGGGAGGTTTTCAAAGAGAATCTGCCGTGGACTGTGCGCTTCCTTCCTGCCAACAGCAGGCCCT